AGGTGCTCCTGACCCAAGCCATGATATTTTCAACTGCCTCATGTGCATGCGAAAGCTGGACAATGAATAAGGAATATCAAAGAATTGATGCCTTTGAATTATGGTGTTGGCGAAGAATATTGAATATACCATGGACTGCCAGAAGAATGGACAAGTCTGTCTTGGAAGAAGTACAGCCAGAGTGCTCCTTGGAAGTGAGGATGGCAAGACTTCGTCTCATGTATTCTGGACATGTTATCAGGAGGGACCAGTCGCTGGAGAAGAACCACATGCTTGCTAAGGTAGAGAGTCAGCAAGAAAGAGGAAGACACTGAACAAGATGGATTGATTCAGTGGCTGCAACAATAGGCTCAAACATAGTAATGATTGTGATGATGGCACAGGATTGGGCAGTGTTTTGTTCCATTGTACATAGGGTCACTATGAGTCGGAACCGACTTGAGGGCAGCAAGCAACAATGATAGAACTGCTCCATAGGGCTTCCAAGGCTGTAATCTTTATGAAAGCAGACTGCCACATCTTTCTCCTGTGGAGCAGCTGGTGGGCTAGAATGGCTGACCTTTCAGTTAGCAGCTGAGCAGTTAACCACTGCACCACTGGGGCTCCTTCTTCATAAACAAACAAACAAACAAAACCCAAACCCATTGCCCATGAGTCAATTTCGGCTGACAGTGGCCCTATAGCACAGAGTAGAACTGCCCCACAGGGTTTCCAACGAGCAGCTGGTGGATTCGAACCGCGCACCTTTGGTTAAACAACTGAGCTCTTAACCAGTGCGCCACCAGAACTCCTTTTCTCAAACAAGGAGGCCCCAGTTCCAGTTCAGGAAGTTAGAGTCTCAGAAGGGATTAATTCACTTAGAGCTTTTCCCTGTGAAGAGGCTTGGAAGAGGCACAAGTCCAAGGTTTCGAAACAAAGCAACTGCTCGGCTCCTGCTAGGAGGTCGTCAGTGCCTGAGGGTCAGGTCAGTTCTTTGTAAAGACACATCCTTTGTTGACTTCAAAATAAATAAAACTTCACAGCTGATGATTCAGCAGTTGTGTACATGACATAGCAATCCTTACAAATGGTGGACAGAAGCTGAAAACTTCAGGGGTTACGGGATCTTTCTGGACCATAGATTTAATCTGAGTATGTTGCTGATTTCACTGTAACTAGAGGCATTTGGTTGCTAACCAAAAGGTCGGCAGTTAGAATCCACCAACCACTCCTTGGAAACCCTATAGAGCAGTTCTGCTCTGTCTTATAAGGTCACTATGAGTCAGAATAGACTTGATGGTAATGGGTTGGGTTGGGTTTATACAGCAATGGAGCCCTGGTGGTGCAGTGGTTAAGAGCTACAGCTGCAAACCAGAAAAAGTTGGCAGTTCAAATCTACCAGCCGCTCCTTGGAAACCCTATGGGGCAGTTCTACTCTGTCCTATAGGGTTGCTATGAGTCAGAATCAACTCGATGGCAACAGGTTTGGTTTTGGTTTTGGTAGAGGATCAAAGAATGGGAGAAAGATGTGGCAGTCTGCTCCTGTAACGATTACAGCCTTGGAAACCATATGGGGCAGCTCTACTCTGTCCTATAGGGTTGCTGTGAGTTGGAATTGACTTGATACAATGGGTATAGGACCAATGAAAAGGTCTCAGATCTTCTGAAGAATGAGAGGCACCTTGACTTAGTGGAGAAAACAGAGACTTTGAGTAGCTATTGGCTATTTTTTTGTGTAGGTAACTTAATTTTGGATAAACAATGTCTATCAGCCTATAAAAAAAAACAGTGGTAACGTATTTATTTCAGTGGTTGCTGTGAAATATATAACTATATGATAGGGCCCAGCATAATGCCTAGCAAAAAAGGATATGGCAGCCAGCCATTAAATGATGTGCTAGGACAAATCTCTCCGCTGATTCAACCTCAGGGTATAACAATAGCAAATATTTATTGAGTGTTTATCCTGTGCCAGATACTGTACTAGCTGCTCTACACACATTATCTCATTCACTCTTTACAATAAATCTATGAAGTAATAGCATCCTTCCTAGTCTATGGATAAAGAAACTGAAGCTCAGATAGGTTCGGTAATTTATCCAGGTTCACAGTGAGTGTTAGAGTCAGGATTCTGTCTTAGGTGTTCTGACTTTGGAGCCCACATGGTCTAACCACGGTATTACAACTTACATGGACCTGGTAAGTGAGGACACCCAGAACTGTGGCATTCTCCCCTTCTCTAGGAGGACCACTGTGTGGCTGTGGTCAAGTGAAGTCTGAAGAGAACATGGCATCTGGTGGGTTTATAGGTTTATGAACATGAGGCATAGAATCCAAGGCAAGGAATTAGAATTTTGATGGACTGGCAAGGGCCTGCATTTTGTGACTTTAACAGGACTATAAAGGGTGGCCACGGGGAAACTCTCCACCATCACACAAGTGGTGGCTACCAAGTAACTAAAAAGACTGGGGAAGTGTGGCATTGTTGAGGTCCTTGATGATTTGAATCACAATGAGCCAGTGAAAGGGGAGGTATTCTTTTCAATGCTATATCATGTATCTTTTGTATACCCACAGGCGATGAAAACTGGGAGTTTAGATTATATGGTTTTTATCATTGTGTTTATTTTTAGTAGCATAAAGTTTCTCTCGTTTTCACTGTATGTTTTCACAGATTGGTGAGAATGGTGTTCTGGGAACTCAAGGTGTCTGGCTCTCTCCATCCGTCTGAATTTGTCATGGTGGCCACAAAGCAGTTGCTTTGATTGCAACAACTTCCTTAAAATTTTCTTACAATTTTGTAGTCCTAGCCTTTAGTGTGAGCGACTCAATTTGTTTTCTTTTCCAGAACTAGAGGTTATCATAGTCGTTATTAGTGATACCAAGAATATACCTGATCAGACTGATATTAAACATCTACGTAGTCCTAAACCCCTGCCAGAGATTGGCAGGATATGAAGAAAATGAAAACTGCAATCCTATTCTCAAGGGTATTTTAATTTTGATGAAAGAAAAAAACCCTAAAACATCACTAACCAAACAAACCCACTGCCATGGAGTCGATTCCAACTCATAGCGATACTATAGGACAAAGTAGAAATACCCTGCTGGGTTTCCAAGGAGAGGCTGGTGGATTTGAACTGCCGACCTTTTGATTAGCAGCTCAGCTCTTAACCACTATACCACCAGAGCTCCAATATCACTAGCTAAGATTAATTGCCATTTTTAAAAATTTATTTCATTTTTTTAATTGTACTTTAGATGAAGGTTTACAGAACAAACTAGCTTCTCATTAAACAATTAGTAAACATATTGTTTTGTGACATTGGGTACCAACCCCGTGACATGTCAACACGCTCCTCTTCTTGACCTTGGGTTCCCTATTACCAGCTTTCCTGTCCCCTCCTGCCTTCTAGTCCTTGCCCCTGGGCTGGTGTACCTCTTTAGTCTTCTTTTGTTTTATGGGCCTGTCTAACCTTTGGCTGAAGGGTGAACCTTAGGAGTGGCTTCATTACTGAGCTAGAAGGGTGTCTGGGGGCCATACTCTCAGGGTTTCTCCAGTCTCTGTCAGGCCAGTATGTCTGGTCTTTTTTGTGAGTTAGAATTTTGTTCTACATTTTTCTCCAGCTCTGTCCAGGATCATCTGTCAGAGCAGTCAGTGGTAGCCAGGCACCATCTAGTTGTGCTGGACTCAGTCTGGTGGAGGCTGTGGTAGTTGTGGTCCATTAGTCCTTTAGACTAATCTTTCCCTTGCGTCTTTGATTTTCTTCATTCTCCCTTGCTCCCAATGGGGTGAGATCAGTGGCGTTTTCTTAGATGGCTGCTCACAATAATTGCCATTTTAAGAATTAAGATCACATCTAGCAAAGTGGAGTTAATTGAAACACTTTATGTGGAAACTCATGAAATTTTACTGGCAAAATTATTTCAACGTTTACAGGCCTGAACACTTGACGTTTGAATGTTTATGAACAGAGAGTGATGGTTAATAACAATCTCTCCAAAGAGGAGAGGTTGAAGTGTTTAGGAGGGATGAAACAAAGCTCTTTTTTAATTTAGCACATTTACTAATAGACTAGACAAGGGAATAAATAACTTGTAATAAAAGTAGTAACTGAAACCTGTCCGTGACAAGGAAGAGCAAATGGTGCTGGGCTGCCTCCTTGTCATCTCAGGGAAGTCATTTGATATCTCTGGCCCCAGGTATTATGGCCTGAATCGTGTCCCTCAAAAAAGGTATGTTGAAGTCCTAACTTCTAGTACCTGTGAATGTGTCCTTGTTTGGAAATAGGGTCTTTGAAGATGTACCAGTTAAGTTAGCATAAGATCATACCAAGATAGGATGGGTCCTAACCCAGTCTGAGTGCTGTCCTTATAAAAGAGGAGAATAGACACAGAGACAGACAAAGGGAAGACAGCCGTGTGAAGATGGAGTTAGGCTGCAGCTACAAGCTGAGGAACACCTGGGACTACCAGAAGCTGAGAGAGACAAGAAAGGACCTTCCCCTAGAGCCTTCAGAGAGAGTGTGGCCCTGCTGACGCTGTGAATTCAGACTACTAAACCTCCAGAACTGAGGCAATCAATTTCTGGTCTTATAAGCCACCTTGTTTGTGGTATTTTGTTATGGCAGCCCTAGAAAACTAATATGTCAGATAAGGAAGCTTATTATTTGCCAGGTATTTGCTGAGAGATTTACATATATCATATCACCTGGTTCTTACTTTAGACTTAAGAAGTAAGTGCTATTATAATCTACATTTTATGCCTGAAGAAATTAAGGTTCAGAGAGGTAAATATACTTGGCCAAGGTTGCACAGCTAATTCTGGCAAATCCAGAATTCAAACCCTTGACTCTCTGACTCCAAATATATTTACTAGCATTGTGCTTGAGAGTAACGTCAGCTTATTGCAGGTGGCAAACCTCAAAGATAGGGCTCCAAAATGTGAATAATGAGATCTGATGTCACTCCTCCGGAGGTGAATGAAGCTGCTTCTCTCTGGTCTTGGAAACATCGCACACATGCAGGTGTTAAAGCTGATGCCTGGAGCTCAGCCAGCTGCCGGTGGACTGAGGAGACTCTCAGCTCTACAGATAGACATTTCACAAATCCGAGATGGGCAGTGGAATCCAGTGAGGGAATATGGCTGTGAAAAGATGAACTACTTAGTGAATGATCTTAATTCAGTGGAGTATTTCACAACCTTCAGAGTTAGAGGCCTGATCAGCATGTCTCAAAATCAGTTCAGTCCTCTAGAGGCTACTGACCAGTTTGTTCACTTTGCTGTCGATTCAGTACTCTAGCAAATAGTTCTTTGATTGTGTGTGTGTGTGTGTGTGTGTGTGTGTGTGCTTTTCTCTCCGTTTTTGCCCCTGTAATTTTTCCATCATACCCTCTAATGTGCTCCTTTTCTCCTCCTTCTTGTCGTGGCCTTCTCCCCTGGTGACCTCTGAGAAATGGTGTTGAGTGATTTTGTCGACACCATCTCATAACCCAGAGCCCTGTACTGAGTTGGTTTCCTTGTGGCATATTGAGTGGAGACGTCCTGGAAATGCTGAATGTACTGTGCAGTGTTTGGGCTGGGCTCCCCGTCTTCATTCTTCAAACCAGCAATCCCTGAGCTCTTGTGGTTCACACTGGTATTCAGGCATGAATACAAATCAGACCTCCATATTCTTCGAGATGTATCAGCATTCACAAAAGTTGAATATGAGTGAGCTACTCTTATTTTTATAATTTCATTTAAATAATATAACTTATTATCATAAATTTACATGTTACTCTACTGCAAATTAAGCCATACCAGGCTTAGCTCCAAGTACAAAGTATACCCCTTGTGTATATTATTCTTTTCATAGAGACTCTTAAGAGGGACATAGATTATATTTTAAAGATTTCTTTACTTTCAGGGAGTTAGGGTCTCAACCACAGTGATTATTTGTCCAGTCTTTCCAAGATCCCACAAAGTAGGCAATGTTGGGTTAGGTGGGATAGTGTAGTTCATTTATTTATTCAACATATATCTGTTGAGGGCCTTGCCCAGGGCCCAGCTGTGTGTTAGAGTCGTGGGGAGAGTGGACGTGGAGTCAGAGCAACACCTCAGTTGTGGAAAGTCACTTGACTCCGCAGCAAAGAGCCTAGGTGTTCAGAAGGAAAACTGCTTAGCAATGGACAGAGGGAAAATGTCTTCTTGCTAAGTAGCTGATTCCACATTGAAGAGAGCTTTACGACTGAAACAAAATAGAGCCTGCTGACACTCCTGGCTACTTTGGGGCTGCCTGCCTTAGGACTGCCTGCCTTGAAGAAGTGCCTACCTCTTGCTTGGAACTTGGGATTTCTTCAGGTGCCACCACCCAGAGGTCCACAAGAGGGTGCTTTCCTCCTTCCAGGTTATGTCTCTTGGAAATACAGCTCCTCATGCTTCTTAGAACTCAGTTTTCTGAGCCCTGAGAAATCCAGTACATTCAGCTGTGGGGCCAAAAGACTTGATTCTGGGTGAGAGAAAGGCATAGGTTTGTAAGTGTGTGTTTAGTTCTGGGTTTATTTATTTAATGTCTGTCTCCTCCACTAAGCTGTAAACTTGAGGACAGTGTCTGGTCTTTTTGCTCATCCCACTTCCTGTGTGTAGCTCAAAGCCTGACACATAAGTGACCCTTAATAAATATTTGTGAGGCTTATAAGAGCTATCTTCACTTTGAATTGATGTCTTTGAATTATGGTGTTGGTGAAGAATATTTAATATACCATGGACTGCCAGAAGAACGAACAAGTCTATCTTGGAAGAAGTACAGCCAGAATGCTCCTCAGAACAAAGGATGACAAGACTTCATCTCATGTACTTTGGACATGTTATCAGGAGGGATCAGTCCCAGGAGAAGGGCATCATGCTCAGTAAAGTAGACAGTAGGTGAAAAAGAGGAAGAACCTCAATGAGATGGATTGACATAGTGGCTGCAACATTGAACTCAAACATAGCAATGATTGTGAGGATGGCTCAGGATCGAGCAGTGTTTCGTTTTGTTGTGCATAAGGCTGCTATGAGTCGGAAACGATTTGACGGTGCCTGGAAACAATATTCACTTCAAGTCCTAGCTCAGAAGTTTTCAACTTCTCTGCCCATCGATTGCCTGAGGTTACCACCCTGAGAGCTCATTCAGTAGGTCTGGGGCAGGGCTGGGAATGTGATTTTGGAAAATTCTCATTTTGTTCTGATTTGAGACTGCTGTCCCGATGTTTTTGCCCTCTGCACACACCTGTGTCACCTTGATCCTCTGGTCTTCTGAGCCTGTGGGTCCTGGGCTTCTTGAGTTTGGGACACACAGTCCCTACTTCCTGGGCCTGCCACCAGCATCCCTTCAACATGATCCTGTCTGCCTCCCACTCTCCCCTTCCTTTTCCTCTTCTCATGGCATCTCTTCCTGTCATCTGATCCTTCAGGAGGGAGGAAATGTTCCCAGAGATGCCCTCACCTGCTAGTCCTGGGAGGATACCTAGGAAGACACCTGCGATGTAGCAACCAGATCTTGCTCATCCCCACGTGAATTAGCCTCTTCTGCAGGCTAGTAGTCAGGGACATCTTTGATGGGTATTGTCTGCTTTAGTTGCACGTAAACGAATACTTAAAACAAACAGTGATTCTGGAATAGAGATCATCCCAAACTTGAGGCTGGCCTGTCTCTTGCAACAGAGGCTTGTCATAATACTGCCTCTAAGAAAGGCTATTCTCCATGATTTTGAGAAATACATGTTTATCGTGATGACTATGGAGGAGAATAACTTTTGACCAAGAGGGGTGTTTTTGCCACATGGTTTGGCATTGCCAGAGTAGTGCAAGTTGTACAGAGACTTTGGACCTTGGAGTCAGATGACCCTGCACAAAGCCTGAGTGTGCACCTCAATGGATGTGTCTATGTACAAACCAGTTAACCTCTTTGAGTGTTAATTCCCTCCTCTACAAGGTTGGATACTAATATCTACTTCACAGGTTCTTGTATGGATAAAAGGAAACAACCTGCTCTGATCAGACTTGCTTCTACTTAGTTGTAAAGTTGTCAGTCCATATTCAAGACCAATATAAGAATTAGCCTTTGAAACTTTTTTTTGAAGCTCTGTTTTAAGGATGTGGTAGAGGAAGCTGTTTTGTCTATCTCACAGGTTTCTCTTCACTGGAGAAATTCTTATTTGGTCTTCATACCAAGAATGGTTTCACTTCTCTTGCTGTGTTTTAATCTTATGGACTTGGTTCGTTGTTGAACTGATTGGTTTTTCTTTTTTGAACCAGTTGCTAGAAAGCCTAGCACGAAATGTGTGGTCCATCAGTATCAAGTGTGCACATCATTATGGTTTGCATTTTTGGCTCCATATATGGCCCCATTCACACACTCATCATTTTTTTTTCTTTCTCTCGCTTTTCATTTATGTTATTGTGCATTTAGTATTCCTCTAAGCTACCTTTTTGGAAGTCCCTGGGTGGTGCAAATGGTTAAGCACTTGGCTACTAACCAAAAAGTTGGTGGTTCAAACTCACCCAAAGGTGCTTCAGAAGAAAGACATGGTGATTTGCTTCTAAAAGGTAACAGCCTTGAAAGCCCTATGGAGCATAATTCTACTCCGAAGCAATAAGGTTATCATGATTTGGAATCAAATCAATGGCAACTGTTTTTTTTTTTAAAGCTAATGCTTTACTTATCTAGTGCTGTAATAACAGAAATACCACAAGTGGATGGGTTTAACAAATAGAAATTTAATCTCTCACAGTCTAGGAGGCCAGAAGTCCAAATTCAGGGTGCCAGCTCCCAGGGAAGGCTTTCTCTCGGTTCTGGGGGAAGGTCCTTGTCATCAATCATCCCCTGGTCTGGGAACTTCTCAGCACAGGGACCCTGGGTCCAAAGGACACACTCCACTCCTTCTTTCTTGGCGCCATGAGGTCCCACTCCTCTCTGCTAGATTCTCTCTTTTATATCTCAAAAGTGATTGACTCAAGATACAACTTAATTCTATAGATTGAGTCCTGCCTCATTAACATAACTGCCTCTAATCCTGCCTCATTAACCTCATAGAGGGTAGGATTTACAACACATAGAAAAATCTCATCAGATGACAAAATGGTGGACAACCACACAATACTGGGAATCATGGCCTAGCCAAGTTCACACACATTTTTGGGGGACACAATTCAATCCATAACAGCTATGTTTTACCATTTCTGGAATAAGACAGGATAAAGTAAAAAAAAGGTTACTAAATAAATGAGCAAACATTTTAAAAATAGTTTTCACAGTGCCTGGCCAAAGCTAGATACACAATAAAAAATTAGTTTTCTACTTTTCTTGTCTAATTATCCCCTGTTGATCTGGGTTAGTCCCTTATGGATTATATTAGAAAGGGTATGGTAAAGGGAATCTCACCACAGACAAGTTTCCCAGCCTGGAAAGGTGTTACTACATTAGGTAGTAGTAGGTATAACCCTAAAACAAGCTGAGAGCCCAAATGGTCCAATCTCTGCATGGAATTCCGTATAAATAAATCCAAAGTAGACCAAAAAATAATTTAGAAGTAATTGCAGTCTTTACTTGAGTCTCTCAAAGCATATTAAAGGGGAACTCATTCTTATCTGCCATCCATCCATCATAAAATCTTGCTTCTCCTTTCCAATTTCCTCTCACTTACTACCTCCCAACATAGTTGTCAGTTACCCACTGACAACTAGATTTACCACCCTCTCTCCCCCTTCCTCACAGCTCTCTATTATGTAGATTGAATTCGCCTCTGTGGCTGGAGTCTCCCTGTTTTCTCACACCTCTCTTAACATCTTCTCCTCTACCCATTCTCTGATTCTGTATCATAAAAGATTTATGAGCTAGACTGAGAAAGACAATTCTTCTGCTTGGGGGTGGACTGGGGTATTCTCACATGTTAATAAATCTCTCCGTCTTCTAGAAAATAAAGGGTGATTAATGCTGTCTGGTGGAAGAGGAGGGGACTCTGGAATGAGGTTCTACTTCAGGAATACCTTGTGGGATTTGGAAGAGGTACACTGGAGCAAAATTTATATAGTTTCATTATTCTGATTCTGCTTCTACTCAGCTTAAAGCCCCAGGATAAAGGACTTTCTGGTATCTGTAACCTGGGAGTAGAGTTATAATGTCTTGTGTTGGATGAGGCTGAAGGTATTGGGGCAGGGGCAGGGAATAGTGATAGGGAGCAAATGATCCATCCCATTCTTGGTTTCCTGTGGATTATGTGGGAGTGGCTACCCAGACTTGTCCTCCCTCTGGGCAGAATAAAGGGTTGA